GAATTAATTTCCTTTAATAAATAATATTGGTTTAAAGTTCGCTTTAAAAATCGCTTGAAAACAACAACAAAATTCAACTCTCTATACTATTTCTTAAAATATTTCCTTTGTATAATACATTTCTTATGAGTAAAACACATTTTCTGCATTCATAACCGGCCTCTTTAAACTTAATTTAACGTTTAGGTCATAATGCTACTCAAACGATTTTTTTATGTACCAAGTAATGTGACATAACACAAAATCCGAATTAATTTACATATCTACTTTTGTTTTCCTACCAATGCCCTCAACTATTTTTTTAAATGCAAATTAGAGGATTTTCAAATAATTAAAGGTTATGCTACTCCGTTTTGTTAGAGTTGTATTGCTTGGTTTTCTTTGTTAGTGCACAATCCTTTTGTTAGTTCGAATTCGCAAAGTGCTATATTAAATTAATGATAATTATATTTTAATTGGGTGTTAATTTCGGCGTTGGTAATGATTGTAATGAAGAAATATTGACAAAGTTTCAGATACATATGTTCATTTTTAGTTGATTAAAATGCTGAAATATTATCAAGAATAATAAACTGATAAAGTTAGATTAGATATATTTTTATTGAGCAAATAAATAATACATTTCGGTTAATTGCAGTATTTAATGACCTTTTTAATTAATGCAGAAAAGTTCTTTTGATTCGCGCGTTCGATAGAAATAGATGATTGCAATTTCCCGTCAGTTGTTGCAGTTCCGAGATGCCCTTGCCATTAATTGGCGTTATGAAATTAAATGTTTATATTAAGAAATTAAATCAAAAGGACGCCGTATGTAAATAGAATGGTAAATCGTACGGAAAAATTGTAAACGTAACTCGGAACAATTACAACGTATCTATGTACATACGTACCATGAGTGTATCATTTAAAATAATGCTATTTCAAAATGTGACTCAAAGTTTATGACTAAAAATTCAAATTATTACAGCGGACGATTTTCTATGCAAATTATGTATTATTGTAATAAATGTACCTATATCTAATTTTATACTAACAGAAATTTTAACCTACCACAACTATACCTAATTAAAATTGCTCGTATAACAGTAGAATTCCTTTAAGGACAAAATTTTTTATTGCATAACTTCTTCTGATTTATGCATGCGTTTTCCATTACACGTTACGATTGACAATAATTACAAGTACACATTTTATTGAATTAAACAACCGGTTTTCGAATTACCGATAACGATTCGCCTGTCAGTTGAAAAAGTTGAAAATCCGCTCGCAATCAGTGGGAGAAAAGCTTTTTTCTCCTAATGCAGATAGAAATTCTTGCCATCAGGAATAAATATTCGAATACATCAATGCGTCCAGATAATTCTTTTGCCGCTCCTGGTATATTTTTCGCGTTGGCGCTGCGTGCGGTTTAATTCATAAATAGACTTGAATGAAACTAAATGTTTGCACATTTTGGATATATTAAGATTAACTAAATTCTTTACAATTAAAATATATTTATATCAGCAATGGAATGTTTACAATAAGTTTAATAAATCGTGTAATCTCGTTTTCTTTTTGTTTATAAACGTTGAATTTTTGATATAATTATCACAATGACGGTTAAATTTATTATTAAACATGCTTTATCTTCTAATTTGATTTACCACGCTTAATGTAAATGAATACAAATTGTTTACTTACGACGATTATTACAAGTATATAAAAGTTGCTCGATTGTGACTAGAATGTACAAAATCACTCGAAGAAACAGGAATTTAAGTTATAATTAAAAAAGATTCCAAATTAAAATTAAACCAGTATTTTTAAAGGAGCTACTGCCATTGCCAAGTCTAATTATAAAACGTTGTTAAATATATAACGTTCCATAAAATGCCGGTTTTTTAAAACCTTTTTTACCTATATTAATGCACGTAATAAAACTAGGCCAACAATTGAAAATTATTACACTGTGTGGTAAGAGTAACAATAACAAACATATCACTAATTCTATTATAAAAATTATTCTAAATGTTGATTAAGAAACTGGAATTTCAGAACAGTAATAAAAGATTAAAGTTAACACCCTCTATGAATTGGTGCTGAATAATTTATCAGAAACTGTTAAACCTACGATTCCCGGGTTAGGTTCCTCTTAATTAGGATATTATTTACTAATTCAGATAACCCTGTGCTCAACTGTCGGGTTATTATCCGTGGAATCTTTTTCGGTTACATTAAAAATTGCGAACGAATGTGAATAAAGTTGCGCATATGTTTTGTAAACAATGCATAATTCGACGCGAATTTCTATTTCTCGTATCTTTACGAGTGCGCGACACACGTTATGGCATTATTAAATTGTTCACACGGTCGTCATTGTTATGTTTCGATTAAGTCCGTTCGTATTTTACAATTTCGTTTTTAATTTAATCGGGTTGTGTAAGGAAACAATGTGCAAATGTGCATACGACAGTAATTTAAAAAAAATAGTTGCTTTTAGTACCTAATCGTAGAATTGTAAAAATGCGATGGCTTGTGTATGGAAATTTAAAAATTTCAATAAACTTAGCGTGAAATTTAATTTCAAGAAGTTGTGTGGATTTTGCTTCGAATCCCCATTAGATTTTTCGAATAATTAAACGTGCGTTCGGTGAATTTTTTCCTCACCCCTATAGCTTGCAGGTCGATGTTCGTTTTTTCGGAAAAAATTCACTTAAACGTGTTATTAACTGAAACTGCCCTAGGCGGTCTTGTGCAGCAAAATGAGCATTTAATGAGAGCGTATTTGTATGAAATATTGCCGGTGGAATTTTTAAACGAACATCAAAAAAACACGGTTTTAATTGGTTCTATTAGAAAGTATAATATCGGGATGGAAATAAAATTAAATAATAATAATCGAAACGGACTGGTTTCGAGTTGCTGATGCTCGGTTTTGTTTCGTACGTTGTCATTAAAGTTTCCAGTCGCGTCGGATGCAGATATAGGGAATAAATATCGTTGGAACGGTATTTCTTTGGTGATCGATCGATCTCTGTACATTTTACATACAATTTTTTATACTGATCAATTTAAATGTGTAATTCAGCTCGCATGGAAATGAAAGAAAGTTCGGTTGGTATTCCGAGCGCGTGGAACTAAACCTTACCGGAGAAAATTTAAATAAATGATAAAATTTAATCAACTCCTCAAAAAAACGGGCTAATTAGTTTGGTTCGCTTAAATTAAATGATTTATTCCGGTTATCGGAATAGTTTTGTTTCGATGCGCAGTCTTGTCCTGTTCCATTTTTCTATATCCATATCGTACTGATAATGATTGCTGATAATATTGTGAAACTTATCCACCGAAATTATACTCACAAATTTCGGTCTGGCTCTTTTGAAAAACAAAATTCGTCTTACTTAATTCGCCATAGTCACCGTACTCTGTTCAGTGCCTAAAAAATGTTTATTGTAATTTTTGATGCAAGTTAATTTAAAAATTGCTTGTATATTAACGATGCTTAGCATGATTTATTCGTGTTGATATTCTGGCCTAAAAACTTCGGGTATATTTTACATGAATTAGTAAATTTAAGAAAAAATCCGGATAAATGATGAGTTTTTAAAAATTAGTATTGAGAATATTACAAATTAACAGTTATAAATTCGCTTATTTCCTACGCATATTCCGAATGCACAGCATCGTTTTAATCATTAATTAGAAATTTACCGCAAAATCAGTCATTACTTTGTAGATAGATATATCAATTTAAAATAGGCATGAATCACCTTTGATAAATTGGATAATTCATGTAGGAAACATTTCAAATAAAAAAAAATAAAAAGTACCTAAGTTTAATTTTATCTCGTATTAATATCCAGGATGCCTCTTTCCGTTAATTTAATTTTTTTTGTGGGTGCGGATTTATACCATAATCAACCGTATTTTATTTATTTATTATTTATTAATAAACACATTTCATAAACATGAAAGTGATATTTCGAAATGTTTATTATCATCTAACCACATTCTGATTAATGCAGATTTTTATTGTCGTCATTAACTTTAATTGAAATAATGGGCCTCTAATTGAAAACTAAAGAGTCAATATTCTTGTATAGTTTAATTTACTTAGGAAAAGTAGTAGGTGTTTGTTTTCTCAGTAAAATTTTTGAGTGTTCCCTAAAAGATTTAGTATAAGGTTCTTTAATGCGCAGAAAAATCCCAGCGTGTGTTTATTTTATCTTTGAAGTTTGTAGATTTCGATTCGTTACAATTTCCTTAATTTGTTTTCCACGTACACGTACGGTTTTATTTATTTATTTTAGTGAGGCCTTGGTTCATCGATCGATATTTTCGTACATTGAAGCCCCTTTGTAAATGTAATAAGCAAACGTTTCCTGTTCTGAATCATTTGAATTTGAATGAGTGCCAAGGGTTGTTGAAGGACATTAGAAAAAATAAGCTCCTTATGGCCGGAAATTGCATATTATAAGAGTATATTCGATTTAATTAATACAACGTATGTATGTATTAATTAAAAGTATGTTTGTGGTAATTAAAATGTCTACTACTTATTGTTTCAGGGGTTTTATTACCTAAGTGTTCTTATCGTTTTTTTATTTACGGAAAACCGTTTTATCATTCGAACAAAAAACAGTACATACTCTTAATAAAATTGTTTTCGATTGTGTTTACGGGAATTTATTAACAACTTACCTAACAAATTGTTATTATGTTTGCTTATTATTAACTAATAAATTCAAGAAAAAATATAAAGAATGGACGAACTGGAATTTTTTAGTTTTGAAATTTAGAAATATCTTTGAATAATTAATTTCATGTATACATAACAAATAGCATAAGTCGCATATTTAAGGTAACAATTAAAATTTATTTAAAATAATTAGAATGCTTATCCTAACGAACTATTTTTTAACTAAATTATCTACATACGACGTCAATCTCCCGACGCAATCCTTAAAACGCACGATATGCCAATGTATTAATATTTGAACGTTCTTTTGTTGCAGCCTGTTTGAGCAGGAGATAATGTCATATGTTCCTGCTATGACCGTAGATAATAGGTCCAGTTCGACTGCCAGAAGTCCCAGGGGCTCTCCTCAACCTTCGCCTATCGCCTCTCCCGGTTTGAGCAGGCACAGAGTGACCGCGCCTCACAAGAGGGATTTCGAGGCCAAACTCAGGAATTTCTACCGCAAATTAGAAAGCAAAGGATACGGCCAAGGACCGGGAAAATTCAAGTGAGTTGACCAGAATTTTTTAAGTTTAAAATAGGTTTAAACATTGTGCTTTTTTTAGGTTGCACATTAGGAGAGATCATCTGTTAGAAGACGCTTTTCGACGCATCATGTCCGCTAATAAGAAAGAGCTTCAGAAGGGTAAACTGTGCGTGATTTGGGATAACGAAGAAGGATTGGATTACGGAGGACCGTCCAGGGAGTTTTTCTTCCTGTTGTCCAGGGAACTGTTCAATCCTTACTACGGCTTGTTCGAATACTCCGCCAATGATACTTACACTGTCCAAATTTCGCCTATGTCCGCATTTGTTGATAATTACCATGATTGGTAAGTGCCTTTAAAGCTTGCCTTTAAAGCCAAATACTTAAGATAGTAGAGACCGTATAAAACTACCTAAAATTGCGAGTATTGCTCTTTCTAAATGAATTATCATTTCTTAGGTTCAGATTCAGCGGACGAGTCTTGGGCCTGGCTCTGGTCCACCAGTACCTGTTGGACGCCTTCTTCACGCGGCCCTTCTACAAGGCGCTGCTCCGACTGCCGGTCGCCCTCTCCGACCTGGAGAGCCTCGACTTCGAGTTCCACCAGAGCCTCCAGTGGATCAAGGAGCACGACGTCTCGCTCCAGGGGGAGTTGGAGCTGACGTTCGCCGTCACCGAGGAGGTCTTCGGCCAAGTGCTGGAGAGAGAACTGAAACCCGGCGGAAGGAACGTGCCCGTCACGGAGAAAAATAAAAAGGTAACGTATCGTAGCTGTTATTATGTAATTTACGAAGGATTGGAGTCTTAATGCTTGGCCTTTGACTAAATTGTTCGTTGGTGAAAATATTCTTGTACATCTAGAAGTGTTTCCATCGTAACTGATGTGTAACATGACGTATTGTCATAGCAACTCCTCGTATTGACGTAACATAAACTTCAGTTTTTTTTGCGTCGAAAGTGTAACTAGTTGTAGAACGGTTTATTTTAATAAAAAATATGGTTAGAATAACCGAGGAGTTGATAAGAAAGCGCTCTGAACACAACGAATGTATTATTGGAACGTTGGAGGAATTGTCGCTGCACCAAGAGGACGTGGATAAGATAGAGCACATTAATAATTGGTGTAAGGATTTGCAGATTTTGTATTTGCAAGCGAATCTCATACCGAAAATAGAGAATTTGAACAAACTGAAGAAATTGCAATACCTGAATTTGGCTATCAACAACATCGAGAAAATCGAAAATTTGGAGAGGTGCGAATCGTTGGAGAAATTGGATTTAACGTTGAATTTCATCGGTAAATTACCACACGACTTTATTTTCTAAATACTACATTTCGAATTTATTGTAGGAGATTTAGAAAGCGTTTGTTCGTTGAAAGATAATTTGTTCCTCAAGACACTTTACTTAACCGGCAATCCTTGTACCGATTACCAGGGCTATAGAGAATACGTGATAGCTAAATTACCGCAACTGGAATCTCTCGATGGCACCGCTATAACCAAAAGCGAACAAATCAAAGCCAAGCAAAAGGAATCGCAACTGGAAAAACTGATCAAAAAGGGCCAGGAAAAGTATCAGAAATTTCGCGAGGAGCAGAAAGAAAGAATAGCGCGATCGAACACGTCGGAATTGAGCGACGAAGATTTCTGGAAGAACACGTCCGAACATTGCCCGGAAATCAGGCGAGAAATATCATCCAGACAGAAAAAGAACAGCAACGTCAGAGACTTAGGTGAAAACGTACCCAAGCGAAAAGTGTCTTTGTTCAACAAAGACGGAAGGCCTTTGAACGTCAATCAAGCCAAGCTGAAATTCCACTTCAACGACGAAGACCCCAAGCAGTATACGTTGGAAATCCACGTGTACAAGTACATGGATACCAGTTTGATTGATGTAGATTTACAGCCCATATACGTTACGGTTACCATCAAAAATAAATACTTCCAGTTCGTTTTTCCCGAAGAAATAATAGTAGATAAAAGCGTTGCGCAAAGGTCTCAAACCACCGGATATTTGGTTTTGAAATGTCCCCGGATGAATTATAAGGAACCGGTTGGCAAGATACCGATTAAAAAGGAAGCGATTGAGAAGAAAAACCGCACTAATAGGGAATATTTGGAAGTCGAAGATAAAAAAGACGATATGGATTTCAGTAAGATCGTCGAAAATAGTAATAAAATTAAAGACTTGTATGCTAATACGGATGTTCCTCCATTGGAATACGCTTAAAATGTACAAATAAATATAATTACATGCTAAGAACTTTTGTGGTTTCTTTGTATATTAATCAACACTAACTAAAAGAGAAACTAATAGTTACATTTTATTTTCCAGGAATACTTGGAAAGGATAGTTAGATGGCGTTTGGAACGAGGCGTATCCGAACAAACGGAATCTCTTGTAAGAGGCTTCTATGAAGTCGTAGATCCTAGACTAGTCAGCGTCTTCGATGCCAGGGAATTGGAATTGGTCATAGCCGGCACCGCCGAAATCGACCTGTTAGATTGGAGACACAACACCGAGTACAGAGGCGGTTACCACGATCAGCATCCTGTGGTGGTGTGGTTCTGGCAAGCTATAGAAAGGTAAAGTACACACACTTACCGTCAATAAATTTGACATAATTATTAATCTTGTTCTTTTTTTTTCGTAGGTTTTCTAACGAGCAAAGGCTTCGGCTGCTGCAATTCGTAACTGGGACGTCGAGCATTCCATTCGAAGGATTTGCGGCCCTAAGAGGTTCGATAGGACCGCGTAAATTTTGCATTGAAAAATGGGGTAAACCGAACAGTCTTCCAAGGGCGCACACTTGCTTTAATAGGTTAGATTTGCCTCCCTATCCGACTTCGGAAGTTTTATATGAGAAATTGCTTCTCGCTGTCGAAGAAACGAATACGTTTGGTATAGAATGAGTACTTATTGTTTCTATGGTTTTTAAAGGACTTTATTTGTTCAAAGATTGTTTGTGGTATTTAATTTGTCTAGGTATACTTTTCTTGACTTTACCGTTAATGTCTTTACCGGGGACAATTTTAATTGGAAAAGTTTATCTGGAAAAATGCACAATCATGATTTTTGTTTCCTTGGAAATATGAGTTTAAGTTATTGTTTCCAGATGAGTTAATATTTAAATTATTTGGAAATGTTAAGGTTTTTTTATAAGAAAAATATTGATATATTTTCAGTAATTATGCACAAAAACGCTTTCTGTTAATAACGCCACATATAGTGTGCGTCACGACGATGGCCCATTAGAAGCATCTGGAAAAGTAAAATTTGAAAATTTGCGTACAAGTATTAATCGATGCGCTCTATTCAATAAATATATTCTCAACTTTTTCTTACTTCCGGTCATACCGGAAGTGGACAGCAACTTTGTTATTTCAAATGGGACACCCCATATATTAATATATTTCCGAAATTCTAAAAAAGAATTTTTAGAACGCCTTTGTCTAAAAAAACTGTTTTTCAAAACTGCATACAAACTTTTTTTAAATTTGACCGACGCAGAACTTTATAAATTGTTTTTTACGGGAATCCCTTTAAAGATATGGAAATTGTTTCTGCAGGATGGCCACTAGCAAGGTCAAAGGTATTTAAATCTGTGTTAAAAAACTTTACATTATACAGGGTGTGTACAAAACATGTGAAAAGTTCCCACCCTACAAAAACTTTAAAGGAATCCCCGTAAAAAAAATTAAAAGGGTCCGCATCGGTCAAATTTAAAAAAAAAAAATAAGTCAAAAAGTATGCATTTTTGAAAAAAGTGTTTTAGACAAAAGTACCTTCAAATTTTACGTAATTTACAAATATATATAAATATACAGGGTGTTCCAATTAAAATAACAAAGTTGATGCCTACTTCCGGTATATCCGGAAGTACGGAAAAGTCGAAAAATATTTTCATTAAATAGAGCGCATCGACTAACATTTGTAGACAAATTTTCAAATTTTCATTACCACTACTTTTCCAGATACTTTTAATGGGCCATCGTCGTGACACACACTGTATAACAGAAAGAGATAATGTGTGATTTACTATTATTTTATTAAGTTTCGTTTTGATTATTGTACCAAATAATAATTTTAATTTTTTGTATATTTGCTTTGTACAGTTTCGAATTGAAATTTTGTACAGTTATTTTATTCGTACACAATTTGTACAAATCAAGTCATAATTTATTAATAAATGTCATATTTTATTTATAATTGGAATGAATAGAGCAAAGTGTAAAATCAGGTTAAATAGCTGATTGTTCTAGGATTACCAAAATTTGAATTTTAATGTTTTGAGATTTTGATTTTGTTATGTTAATTTATTCTTTTACAATTTGACATAAGTTACCAATGATTATTTGTTTTAGAAATAGAATTAGATTGTTCATTTCTAATAATGTCGTGATTTGTTAATTCTAGTCAGTAAAATATAAATTTAAAATAATCGGTTTATGTTGGATATAAATATCTACTAATTTTTATTATTCGTCGAATTTCTGTTATCCTAATAGAAACATTTAAAAATTTATTCAAGTACGAAATATAGAAATGAAATACGTGAAAGTTTTGTATTCCTGTATGAATGTGTTACACCGAGAAATGATTAAATTAATTTAAAAAAATCTAAACTAATGACAGCGAGATTACATTTAATGTACAATGTGTTTTTATCTTATAAAAAACAAAAACTGATGTACAGGGTGATATTACCTTAAGTAAATTGATCTTCGGGGTCGCAGTTTCGGCAGACATGTAAGTTCGACAAATACCATTGCAATTGAACACAACAAATTTAAGATTAAAAAATGGTCCGGATTATTTAATTATTTAACGGTCATCGTTCAGTCAAAAAATAATTGAAATTAACAAATACCTTTATTGAGGTACACACCAAATTAAAGTAAATTAAAGCAACAAAATAATATAAATTACTCATACTTAAATACAAATAGCACTTGTCCTGTCTAAATATTTTTTTAGAAGGGCTATCTAAAGTAGTTTCTGTAATCCTCAAAACATTCCTTCTGGTACTACTTATGATAAATCATTGGTACTACGATCAAGAAAATCGTTAAAATTACCTGGTGCATCATTATGTAATACCAGAAGTGGAGTTTTAAATATTTAAGTTTAAGACAAGGGTACCCATAAAAGAGCGATCGATACAAATATCTAGACAAGACATTCTGTACATCCCAATACAAATAGCACAAATATTTGCATAATGATTAAGTAAATGTCAAATTACAATCGCTGACTTATAAAAAAAAAAAAAACGCTTTCTGGATTTAATTTTTGTTGTACTTGCGAAAAACACCAGTAGCTCACACATGGTAATTGACATGCACTCGTAACGTTACGTACGATTCAATAACGGCGCCCTTCTTTAAAATATATTTTTAATTTAAACAGTAATCTTAAAATCATAATGAATTCTATCCCATACAAAACAGAATTTCTTCCTATCTTACGGCTACAAGAAGCACCGAGCCGCTATCGAATCGTCACCCGCCCGACAAATGTGCTATTTGTTGTAATGGTCTCGGACCGAGAATACGTACGGCAGATTCCACAGAATCGTTCCCAAAAACAACATCAGACCGATCCCAAGGAATAAACCGCAGTGATACCTAATGTGCTCGCTTCGCGCCGCTCTCTCTGCTAGCACAGGATTCCCCGGTCGATGGTAATGGTAGTTTTGGTGACGGGAGTGTGCGGGATGTGGCGACAGGTCGTACCGCATTGGGAACACAAGCAATTGGCCGATACAGCGTAGGTGCGCACCGGCGACGTGTCGGTGAAGCTGCCGGACAACGTGTCCGAACAAAAGGCCGTCGTCTTACGTTGGACCGGCGACTTCGGCGCCCCGTCGGCGACGCAGCTGAACGATTTCCTTTGACTGAGCGGCGTCGATTTCGGCGCCACGTTGTTCGATTGGTTTATGTGATCGCATGGCTTCAGGGTTAGGGCGGGCGGGATGTTGCTCTTCAGCGATATCCAAGGGTGATCGAGCATTTCGTGTATGTTCGGTCGATCTCTGTACAACAAACAACGTAAGGTTAATTATGCGAGGATACAACAAACGAAATACAAGCACTATCGTTTTGATATAATAATGTATAGCTTACTTCGGGTTTACGATAAGGGCACTTTTTATAAAATCTATCGCGGCGCTGGAGACGTCTCCGAAATGTTCGCTTTCGAACGAAAGGGAACATCGCGATATGTTGAGGAACGTTTGTTGTTTATCGTCAGCGCCGAATGGACTGAAACCAGACAGTAGGACGTAGGCCAAAACGCCTATGGACCAAATATCCGTCGATAGGACGATCGGTTCATAGTTCAGGACTTCTGGCGCTACATAATCGACAGTACCTAAAAAGTAAAATACAAACATTCAATAGTGATACACATTACTGTGACTATTACTGTAACTGTTGATATTTAAATTTTACTTACCAACTATTTCTCGGACTGATACGCCAGGAATAAGTACTTTGGAAATTCCAAAATCACAGAGTTTTATCACGTCACAGCTGTCTTGTTCAGATAGCAATAAATTTTGGGGTTTCAAATCCAAATGTGCAATGTTATTGTCGTGTAAGTAGGCGACGCCTTCCAATATTTGCTTCATGGATTTACGTGCTTCAACCTAAAAAAAAAACAAACGTTATTTATTATCACAATTAACTGCCTTACAACTAGCAATACTGGATAATTTCAATCGAAAAAAAGTAGTTCAGTTTACCAACTTATCTCTAAGATAATAGAGTAATCGAGACAATACCTCTTTCAAGCATTCTCCACCGTCCAGTATGTGCTGGAGTTCGCCGCCAGCGGCCAATTCGAGGACCAAGACCATATCGGTAACGGACTCGTACACCTCGTGGAGACGAATGACGCGGTTCGTCGATTTGCACTTGATCAACACCGCTATTTCGTGGATGATCTCCTTCATCTGGTCCTGATTTCGACGTCGTTTCTTCACGAACTTCGCCGCGTACGCAGTGCCCGTCTTCTTGTGCACCGCCCTCCATACCGTCGCGTACTTTCCTCTGAAAAGAAAAATCGTTTTTTAATTTCATTTTTATTTGATTGGCTGTGCGTGAGAATATTATGAATTTCAACGTATTGGACGTTTGACACAAATGGAACGAATCAACGAGGCTATTGATCAATTTAATATTAGGTTTGTTCCTACAACAGTCAGAAATAGTCGGTGGTCGTCAGGAGTCTGCGCAGTAATAATTTAGGCGTTCCAACAAACTCCACAGACATCTCTGATTCTGACTTGGTTAACAATTTATTGTTCCAACAGTTTAAGGGACTGGTTTTGTGATAGTCAGAAAAATTTGCTGATAGTACAGAGATTTAGAATCCGGCGCAAGCGCATTTTTAATTTGGGTTTAATTTGTATTTCTGAATATAGGTTAATTATTAGGTTATGTTGTTTGTTGTTTTTGTTTGATATTTGGTGAATATATGTAATAAATGTAAAGACTGTTCCATCAAGAAATCGGAAATTTGATTACACCATTCAATCATAAACCGCGCATGCGAAATAGAAGAGTCAGAAACTTACTGGTAACAAATCAGTGACTTTTTGTAGGAACAAACCTATTATAAATTCTCTTGATGTTATAGGAAAGCTTCAGCTTTAATTATTAAGTAATCAAGCAAAGACCTAAAGCAAGAAGAATCAAGCAAGAACTTAAATCGCTTTTTTTTTCGCTTAATAGAGCACGAGCCAGATTGAGCAAACCTTTCAAAACTTGACAGGAACAAGTCAAATTAGCTATCAAATTGAAAAAAAAATGTAGGTATAACAATTCTATGTGGATAGAAGTAGTAATAAGCACAGTTCCGGGGTTAAGATACTCGAACCACAAACCGTCATTCGAATGGGTATGATTATAGTATAACGTTTCTCCATTACACGCATACGCACGCTCGTATGGTGGTTTTTTCTGTTCTTCTTCTTCTTCATCTCCGACCAACAGTTGTTGTCAAGGTCATTCGAGGCCGAAGAATATATATCGAAACATCGTTGCCACGTGAATTCGATCTAAAAATAACGACTAATTGGCCTTTGATAAAACTAGTTGATGCGATTGAAATTTATTCTAACGGTAAGCCGATGTACGAGTCGCTTGAAACGATTACTCTACCACTGTGTAATCGCCTTATGATTAGACCAAATGGTACTCGTATAATTGGGGAGGTCTATTAAGTTAAAACTCCGATTTCTACATTGGATATTCAGAAATTTATTTACATACGAAACAACTGTAACCCTCGAGACTTTATGGTATTTATTGTTTCAAATGTAGCCGCATAAAAATAGCTTACTAAAAGCTTTCGTATTTATTAGCCCCGTTTATTTTTATACGTCAATTTTCACTAAATTTACCAAACGATTCGATCCGACGGGGTTTTCGCTTCTTCAGAGGAATTCTCCGATCGAGAAAAACATCAACAACGAAAAAAAAGAAGGTTTTTTTTTACACGGGCGACATTGAACGAGGTCCCCGCGTGCCGCCCGTCCGAGTAATGAGGTAAGAGACCGGTTCGATTCGCATAAATGACGGAGTTTTTCGCGTTTCGCAACAAAAATACGGCCGGGAAGGCATGCACACGACACACACGACTCTCGTGACGATTTGCATTTTTTTTCAGGTCTCTTTTCCGTATTTTTTCCGCGTTCAACCGACCAAAGGCGGCGCGCTAATAATCAGTATAATACAAAGCTGCAGAAGTTCATTAGCTCTTATGTTCTTTAAAATGTATGTTTCAAATAGCATCTACGAGATATTCGAGAAAAGATATAATAAAACAAAGATTCAAAAACTCTTAAAAAAGGAGTTATAAAATTAAACATAGATTCAAGTCTTTAAACAGCTACCAGCAGGAGAAAGTGTATTGGAGCCAATAGCATATTTAGTAAAGAATGACCACCCTGTATAAATTTTCGAGTTGGCGAACGTCCTGCGTAAAAATCCAAAGGCGAAGAATCCAGCTGCAGGACACAGTCAGTCAAACTTTCGAGCAAACGTCGAAAAACCAGATCGCATCGCCGAGACCTTTCCCGTCCTTGAGACCCATCAGCTCGCTCATCACCGTTCGAGCGGTTTTTTTTTTCATTTCGGTCACAGCCGATTGGTCATTACGCGAATAATGCAGGATGCATTCCGTCGATTACGCGACTCGCATGCGAATCGTCGCTAAATAAGCGACCGGCCGGCCGGGGGTCTTTGTCCACATCGTCGTTACGTTACGATCGAAATAAGGAAGTCCGAACGGGACTGCCGAGACGGGCGACGGAAGGAGCGTCGGGAGGCCCTTGAAACGCGCCGGGTTAACGGAATTCAAGGATATTCCTAAACGGATTAATCGAGATCTTCTTCTTCTTCTTTTGTTGGTGGTACTGCGATTCGTGTCGAAGGGTCATTGGCGGGTCGTTGGCGTGACGAGATAGGATGTCTTTAACGGGCGTAATAACAAAGGTTATCCAACTTTTTTTTTTCGGTCCGAGGATTTCACCGCGTCGTCGTGTCAATAGACACTTCGATCAATTTTATTGGGAATTAATCGATTGAAAATATTGCAGGCGATATGCGTGAAAAGAAAGTCGAGTTAAGCGAACTCTCGTTCGCATCGAACGCGATTTTTCCTTCGAATTAAATCGAATTTATGATCTAAATACCAACATCTTAGGTATTTCGAATACGCCAATTAGACAATATAAATAGCCGCAGATGAATATATTTATCCGCAATTTCATCATCTCACCTGACCTCGTTGCTTATTTTCGGCACCTCACCTATATGCATCCCGAAATGTTTATCAGTTTTTCACCGGTGCGCAAAGTGGGTGTTTTGCACATTTTGCAATTTACATAACAGAGAACTTGCAAAAAAACAAGTACCTACCTACTGCTGGAAAAACATTCAAAAGAGGAATGGCAAGAGATGAAAAAGAAGTGGACAGGAATGAGGAATTGCGAGGAATGTCTGAGGAAGAAATAGTAGTACTTATTAAATATTTGGAATAGGTGAAAAACATCTCATGAGTATAAAAGACAAAGCATTGTATCTAAATTTCGACGCTAAATACCTGATTTTATCAAACAGCATCGAACCAGATTTATTCATCGGGCAAGCAAATGAGTTATTAAAGGAATATGAAAGATTTTCAGCGAGGCGCCGGCCCGTCACGTTTCCGAAACCCGTCCTGTAGCGTTTCGTAATTATTACCATCAATCTCTCCAAGCTGCTGCTTTGATCTCGGGCTATTTTTTCCGTTAGGCGCAGAAGCGAAAAAACTTTGTCTTGGTCATGGCGCGGAGTTTAGAAACGGAAATTAATATAAGTAAGAAAATAAATAATGATTTCACGGCCAACTGTACACGAGGAATGTTATTAGTGTTGGCAACGATTTTAGCAGCAATTCAAAAGTCTGACAAATGAACTCAATGAACGCCCGGCTGTTGTTTTTTTAGCTCTACCCGGCGTTTTGATGTAAAACAATCTTGATTTATTAATCGAAATTTTATATATTTATAGTAGAGTCCATAACATGAATGCGAAAATATATTTCACCCCTTGTAAATTGATTTTATTTCATCTACAACTTCCAGGTGACACGGAATATCCCACATTTGGTCGACCTTTCGACACCGCACGTATGCAAGTAGGCATACCGAATGCAAAATAATAAACAATCAAAAGCGCTTTAAAGGTAAGAAGAGATTAAACGTTAACGGTTTAAACGGCAAAGGTCTCGGTCTTGCCGATATTCCCAGATCAAATTGCGAATCGAGCATTTGAGACCTTCTAACCCAGAAAGAGATCTCGAAACGGCCGGAGAACTAGATAATATTGCGCACGTTGAACTAGGTCGAATCGCGACATTTTAATTGAAATTATCCGCCGCAAATTGATCGAATGGCTTGATTAAACTAAGCGAATATGCGGGGAGATGGAAAATGAAAAAAAAAAAAACGAAAAACCCGAAACGGCGTTGCGGCAGATGATGTCACTTTCAGCGAATTATCCAGTCGAAAGAGTGGCAATTACGGAATTAGAATGGATTGCAGTAAATTGCTATCGAATTTAAAATCGACGTTTCTCGCAGTCGTTTCTCACCTTTTCTATTTTTTATTTTCGCAACGCGCCTTACTATTAGACAATTTTCCGGTCGTTATGGAAGAATTAAAGCCTTTGAGGCGTACTTAAGCGCTGATTTAAAGATATTAAGGACGCGAGTAACACGGTATTTACAGGAAAAATTACTCTTCCCACAAAAACCAGAGAATACTAACGATTTACGTTCGATTAAATATTGACAAGAATAAATTAGAATTATATTTACAGCAATTTCGCGCATGCGATAGTTTCAGCTATTCTTGTCGATCTGTACATAAAAATTTTGCGATAAATCCGCATCGGCTAGCACAAATCTTCACAGAGATGCTAAATAATTCCTCTATAGATAAAAATTGCGTGGAAAACGCGATGATTAAAATATCTAAAATGATAGAGCGAGTAACGTTTTGAGAATTTTACACGAAGGTCAAGTAGATGCGTCTCATAATTCGTATTATTAGCGAACAATGAATAGGGGATCGAAGGTGCTAGTTGTAACACATTTCGTACACCAGACGTGCAATTACAAGCCGGCCTTTTTTACCATAACCAACTAGAAATTACTAATATAAACCTGGTGGTAAATTAAAATATACCAATCGATATATCGTTTGTTTTTTTTACGCAAAAAGAAATTACCGCACGTCTTATTTATGTAATTATTTGCTCGGTAAGCTAAAAAATAAGCGATTCTTAGCTGCTATTGATAAACAACCTGTCGTTTTTTTGGCTCCGAAACCGTTTCTTCGGCCATTACCTCTACCAATTAGATGTGCATTTGTTTCGGTATGCCCGATGCACGGCCTCCTCCAATTGCCAAATATCACACGCGCGAATACCTGAAACTGCGCCAAAATACCTCTACCATTGGCGCTCCTAACATTTTATCTACACATTTTTTTTACTATTAA